TTTTTTTTTTTACTTTTAGGCTTTTTTAAAGGATATCAATGCAAAAATGGAGTGTAGATAATTCTTTTTTTTATAGATTTTTGGTGTAGTATTCGTTAGGAGGTCGAGAGGTGTTGGAATAAGGTCAAAAGTTAAAGAAGACCAGTGGTTTTATTAAACTTAAGTTGGTTTGAAAATTTTTAACTTAAAATTTGGAAAAGAATGGTGATTCTGGGCATAGATATATAGGAAGGAATTTAACTGGGTAAAGTTCATGCCAAATGGTTTTGAATGATTGATCTCTCTTTTTTGGCTAGTGAAATAATGATGAGCATTTTAAAGAGCCTGTAATGTATTAGTTGTTTAGTTTTTACAAAGCCAAAAACGAAAAGAAAGCAGCATAAATAATTAGTCAGAAAACGTGTGGTCAGTAGAGCTTGTTGATGAAATGGCTTTTATCATAGACATTTGTTAATTTGCTTCTTTTTTTTTGACCAAGCGAAAGAGGTGGAAGAAATGTTAGGACTGTTTTTTATTTTATTTGAAATTTTCCAGTGCAGTAATAGTTGTAAATTATTATTTCTTCCAACGACTTTAGTTTACAATTAGTTGCGTTTAGTTTTTTTTAGGAAAAGGAACTTTTTTTTTCTATTTAGATGAACTTTTTGAAACATTCAAAACTCGTTTATTAGCGCGCTAAAAATCAGGTTGATTTATTTTTGGGGGAAAGGTACGATAGTTTTTTTTTTTTTTGACAGAAAGGGACTATTTGGCAGCGCTAAATAACCTTTGTTGTATCTCATTTTTCAAGCTTTTAACGTTTTTTAGGTATAAGATTGTAGAGCTTTATAGTACCAGCCAGGTATATTCACTGAAGATTTAGAAATTATCTTTTTACGAGTCAAGTATCGCCGCGTTTCACAATGATTCTCTTGAAATTGTTAGAATTTTTCAAAGGGCTTATCACACTGTTTTTTCTAGCCCTCTTCATGTTGCAACAAAATGGGGTCGAGCAAATATGGTTTCATTACTGTTGGCCCATGGTGCCGTTATTGACTGCCGAACTCGAGATCTCCTAACCCCGTTACATTGTGCAGCTCGATCTGGGCATAGTCAGGTTGTTGACTTGTTGCTAGAAAAAGGAGCTCCAATAGATGCAAGAACTAAGGTTTGTTTATTTTGCCTTTAATCTTTCCGTACTTTCACTTTTTTGAAGATTATTTTTAGACCATTATTTTACATGTCTGGTTATTATAACCACGAGGAAATGTGGTTTTACGGTAAGAAGCTTTGTTGATTTCAGAATGGTTTGGCGCCGCTTCATATGGCCGCTCAAGGTGATCATGTTGAAACTGCTAGGACGCTGTTATACCACAGAGCTCCAGTTGATGATGTGACGGTTGACTATTTGACGCCACTACATGTTGCTGCTCATTGTGGTCATGTTCGAGTGGCAAAGTTACTTTTGGATCGTAATGCAGATCCGAATGCCAGGGCACTCAACGGTTTTACACCTCTTCATATTGCGTGCAAGAAAAATCGAATAAAGGTTTGGTTTTTTTATTTATATCTTCAATGAATCACTCCTGTTCCATGAAAACGATAGAGTTTTTTCAGGTCGTGGAATTGCTGTTGAAATATCGTGCCGCCATTGAAGCAACCACTGAATCCGGTCTATCTCCTCTTCATGTGGCAGCTTTCATGGGAGCTATCAACATTGTTATCTATCTCCTTCAGCAAGTATGTTGTAGTGTTGTACCCACTTTACAAAGCTGGTGCTTGACTTTATGCCTGTAAATGAAAATGAAAGTACTTCTAACGTTTGATATCTGATTGACAGTTCATAGCATTATTGTTTGGTACTTATTTTAACGCAGGTCTGTAGCGTAAGCTATTTCTTCCACAGTAGCCATAGTTCGAAATAAGAATGGAGTCAGGAATCTGGTGATTTTACAGGCGGACTGTGCTCTTTTGCTATTTTAATAAGAAGATTTCAATTTTAGGGTGCCAATGCTGATGTTGCTACAGTACGTGGTGAGACTCCCCTTCATCTTGCTGCTCGCGCTAACCAGACTGACATTGTTCGAGTTCTTGTTCAGCACGGCGCAAAGGTGTTTTTTGTGTTTCATTGTTTTTGCTGCTTTTTTCGTTCTTTAAATTTACAAGATTTATTTTTTGTTATTAGGTTGACGCGACTGCTCGTGAGTTGCAAACACCACTACACATTGCATCGAGACTTGGCAACACTGATATTGTAGCTCTTTTACTACAAGCTGGTGCTTCGCCTAATGTTGCTACTCGAGACCAATACACTCCCCTTCACATCGCTGCAAAAGTAAAGCGTTTTAAATAAATTTTCAAAATTAAGCGAAGCTTTTTAGAATCTCTTGCAGATTGATTAGTGGCTTTTTTAGGAGGGACAAGAAGAGGTTGCAGCAATGTTATTAGATCATGGTGCTGATAAATTCTTGTTGACTAAAAAGGGTTTTACTCCTTTACACTTAGCTGCGAAATACGGGAACTATCAAGTAGCAAAATTGCTTCTTGAAAGAGGAACACCTGTTGACATTGAGGGCAAGAATCAGGTTAGCGAAGGAATCGTTGAGCATCAATTTCTAAACGTTCTGATCTTTTTCCTGTTCCATTATTCTGTTGCTGTATAGTTATGACCAGCTGGATATTCTGTTTTTTATAAATGTGTGTTAACTAATTTTAGGTCACTCCTTTACATGTTGCTGCTCATTATAATAATGATAAAGTTGCTCTGCTTCTTTTGGAAAACGGTGCTTCAGCACATGCTGCAGCCAAGAATGGATATACGCCTTTGCATATCGCAGCTAAGAAAAACCAAATGGATATTGCTTCAACGCTTCTACACTATAACGTTTGTTAATTTTTATTAAAATTTTCTTTTAAAATTTTTTTGGGAATTCTTTCAGTCTGAAAACTAAAGTACTTTAGGCTAATGTAAACGCTGAAAGTAAAGCTGGTTTTACACCACTGCATTTGGCGGCGCAGGAAGGGCATCGTGAAATGTCATCGTTATTAATTGAAAATGGGGCCAATGTAATTTTTAAAAAAAATTGGTTTTTTTTTTAAAGTAATTTTCCGAAAAATTTTTATGATTTTTCTCAATTTTTATGCTTTATTGCAACTTGAAGGTTTCCGCGCAAGCGAAAAATGGGCTTACTGCTATGCATTTGTGCGCTCAAGAAGATCGGGTTAATGTTGCTGAAGTTCTTGTGCAGCAGAATGCTGCGATTGACTCGCCAACGAAAGCTGGATATACGCCATTACATGTTGCATGTCACTTTGGTACATTTAATACCTCATTGCTGTTGCTGTTTTTAATATTTTTTGTTTTCCTCTTTGTCTGCATAATATTTAATAAAATTTTTTTCAAGGTCAAATCAACATGGTACGGTTTTTGATTGAACATGGAGCTCCAGTATCTGCAACAACGAGAGCTTCATACACTCCATTACATCAGGCTGCTCAACAAGGTCATAACAACGTTGTAAAATACCTTTTGGAACACGGGGCAAGTCCAAATGCACAGACTTCCGTAAGTTTTTTCAAAGATTAAGGATTTTTTTGGGTCTTCTTTTGAAGCCTTGTTTCCACGCTCGACGACCGTTTAAACTGTATTTTAATTATTGTTGAAAGGTCCCTTAAGCTTCTATGTTTTTTCAGTCGGGGCAGACACCTCTTTCAATTGCTGAAAGGCTAGGTTACGTGTCTGTTGTGGAAGCTCTAAAGACTGTTACTGAGACCACTGTTATCACAGAGACCACTACTGTTACTGAGGAGCGTTACAAGCCGCAAAACCCAGAAGGAATGAATGAAACAATGTTTTCTGATTCGGAGGATGAAGGTTATTTTTTTTGCTTGCTATGAAAGTTGGCCATTTTCACAAAATTTTTTTTTAAGTAACTTAAAAATTATCATTTAAGATACATGGCGATTAATTTTTTCCTTTACTAGTGATAGTGCTGGTGGTAGCGGATGACTTTCACTGAGCAATTTGACCTCAAAAGCAGAGTCAAAGTTGATGTTTTTAGAGAACAATTTGTTTTTGCTGTCACTTAATTATTATTTGCTTTTCGTTATTAATCTTCTCTTGGAAATCACCACTTTCTTGTGCTTGAAAAGTATGCATGTCAATTTCATCTGACCTTAGCACC